CCGATGCCAGCGATGCCATTGATATTGACAACTATCAGCATTCGGTTAAAGCAAAGCACGATTTTTGACCCGGAAGGAGTAAAGCCGAATGTTGGTCACGGAAATGAGCAACCAATTGACAGGTAGGCAATCTATTTCGTTCTTTTCCTCACAGTTTTTGCATGAATGTCCTAACTATGGTTAGCTCCTGCTGCAGTTCATGGACGCAAATTACGTGAACTTAAAACAAAGCAAATCAGTGAGACAACAGAGGCACTTGGGGATGCCTAGGTCGATTATGACCTGGATCGTTGTTTTACTGGGAAATCAAAATTATAACCACTTGGAGAATTTCTTCTGAATTTCCAGGGTGGTCTCAGTCTGGAGTTTTCAAGATTAACGAAAATATAAGTAAGGGAACTGAGGTGAACCTAAACATGAATTTTTGATCTAAAAAAGCTCTTTCCGCCGTTTTGTTTCATAATTTCACCTTTGATATTGTACCGTTTCATGTGTCTACGAGTAAACTGGGTAGCACTGACTGTAATGTATTTAACATTTTGGGAATTCGGAGCTCGTTATACAGAAAGACATTTCGTTTTCGGCTCCGGCATTTTTTGCCTTTTTTATAAACAAATATTTGGCGTAGGTTTTTGTCAAGTGTATTTTCAAAGACGTCAACGACAGAGACAATAAATACACAGTGTCATTGGATTTTGCACCTGAGTTTACTTATGCAAAGGTTGCAGTATCAGTCAGTTTTCAGAGGTCACTTTTTAGTCTGTGATACGATGAACTCCCACGACCATGTAATGTATTCATTCCCTATACAGCGGAAAACCCACTTACCACAAAATCAGACAGGACATCTGAAGAGACTTCAACAGCGCCTCTGAACAAAACTCACCGCGAAACAGAACAGCATCCATCACCCTGCAAAGGGTCTTTAAACACTAAACGATATAGGGAGGGCTTGATAGCGGTGAACAACCTGGCCCTTTATGCCAGTTTTAAGCTAGTCTTGCCCCAAAACTGCTTGCAGTGTTCCACTACACTAACTGCGAACCCATTGACAAGGGATCAAAACATACGTACCTGGTTCTATTTCACATTTGTTTCCACTGTAGCCTGGTTTACACTGGCACCTGTATCCGCCATTAGGCCGAGAGTGGCACTCTCCATGGACACAAGGACTACTGTTGCATGGATCTATAAGAGACGAAATAGATAGCTACTTCTAAGAATAACGCCCAAAATTTACAAAGAATGTGACATGAAAGAATTTATGAAAAACTAATGCAATACTGCTGCATCGGTTGTTGGATATCGATGTGTTAAACACTTCACGTGAGTACGCGGCACATTACCACTTTTTATGCATGGAAGTAACACCGCTACCCTGCAGACGAAACAAGGAAAATAATGACATTTTGCAGGATTTCCTGCCGGATAGCGAATCCCAACATGTCGTCCACCGATCCCAGCGATGCCATTGAAATGGACGACTGTCGGCATTCGGCTAAAGCAAAGCACGATTTTTGACCAGGATGGAGTTAAGCCGAATGTTGGTCACGAAAAACCAGCAACCAATTGACAGGTAGGCAATCTATTTCGTTCTTTTCCTCACGGTTTTTGCCTGAATGTCGTAACTATGGTTAGCTCCTGCTGCAGTTCATGGACGCAAATTACGTGCCCCAAAACTGCTTGCAAACTTCCACTACGCTTACTACAAACCCATTGATGAGGAATCAAAACATACGTACCTGGTTCTATTTCACATTTGTCTCCAGTATACCCTTGTTTACACTGGCACCTGTATCCGCCATTAGGCCTAGAGTGGCACTCTCCATGGACACAAGGATTACTGTCGCATGGATCTAGTAAGAGACGAAATAGATAGCTACTTCTAAGAATAACGCCCAAAATTTACAAAGAATGTGACATGAAAGGATTCATGAAAAACTAATGAAATACTACTGCATCCCTTGGGCCCATGAGTTGACGAGCAATCTAAGGTCCAAGGGTTAGGGGTTGTTTGGGCGGAAATATACCTCCGATTGGTGATTGATTTGGCTACCTGGTCGACTGACACAACAATGAGCATGTGTGTAAACAAGATATTGCCGGCAAGATCAACTGAACTTAATATACTTTTCCCTAGCTTATATAATCACTATATTTAAACAAAAGGAGTTGCTTATTGTATACAATAGTTACAAAAGAATACAAAATACAACTACAAAAGAACACTTAATTAATCCGCACTCCGCAATCCGGAAAGTGCCGCCAATAATCCACAATCCGCACTCCGCCTTCCGCAACCTCTAACCTGTATCTGCAATCCGCACTCCGCTACCTCTAACCTGCATCCGCAATCCGCACTCAGCAACCTCTAACCTGAATCTGCAATCCGCACTCTACAACCTCTCAGCTGTATCCGCAATTCGCACTCCTCACTCGGGTGACTGCACCCAAGATATCGTCGGACTGCCGGTGCTAATTAAGTAACCCAACTAACTGGTAACTCAGGGCGTCTGCCGACACTCTGGCTATCAAATCTTTCACCACTTTTCTAGAAGGTGACCTTCCGACAACCTTCGACAACTCTGCCCACAACTCTACCCACACAGTACTGTTCTACCCACAATCCTTTCTAACCGATACTGAACAGTAGGCTACACAATGAGTCAACCACTGCGGATATGTTACAGTTACTGCAATAACTGCTTAGATTGCGGAACCAGTACTTGAATTGCTAGCAGACTCTCTGCTGTGGCGCACACAAAAGGAGCGGTCACAAACACCACTGTTCACTCGCTGAACCAGGCCTCCAGACTGCCTCGAGACTTCTGCGAAACTGCCCTACACCGCGAGTAGCATGGCACAAACTAGACAGAATATACACTAGCGCCAGTCCCGCGGTGCCTTAAACGTGTAGGCTACATTTACATGGGAAAGTACGCAGAGATTAATGCCAATATGCACGGGTACCAGTACAATGGTCTTGCTCATTCTCTGCGACTATATACAAAGATAAGAATGATGTCATCTTTTCACTGAAACCTAAACTTGTTAAAGCCAATTTGTCACAATAGTGAGGGAGTTGAGGTGAACTTTGAATGATCTAAAAACCTCTTTTTGCTGTCTTGTGTCATATTTTCACCTTTGTCTATAAGACTACCACAAAATAATATTATAGTATTGTGGGTACGTATAAACTGGGTCGCACTGGCTGTAAAGTATTGTAAATATTTGGAAGTCAAAATTATTTTCACTTTTTCCCTTTGTGTGTGTGTACAGTGGCACTGTCCTCTCACATGGATGGACCACTCTCACATGGATCTAGTTAGAGAGGAAACAGACACCTACTTCTAAGAATAACGCCAGTGACTTACACAGAATCTTGTTTGAAAGAATTGACGAAAATCTAATTATAGCCTTTTAGAGGTATGGCGGAAACAATAGGAGTGCTCTATTTGGTTTGGGTAAAATCTTTTGTGTTTGCTCCAAATTTACCACTTCAAACAGCGCCCTCCTATTGTGTCCGCCATACTTCTAAAAGGCAAATGAAGCATTTTACTGCATCGGTTGTGGGGTCGAGTTAGTTCTACCTTGGACTGGTATTAAACCTAGAAGCAGACAGTCCTGTTTCCCGTTCCATATCTCATCAGGAAGACGTTCTGGTTTCAAGCCAAGTATTAAGTATAGGGCGTTTCTATTTCCGTGCGTTTTACCCTATGTAGCTATACCCAGCAAGATCTGTTCAAATCTTAAAAATAAAAAGGGTGAAGGTAAACTATACCCTGTATGCCTACTCAACTGCATACCTAAATTAACAAAAATCATAAAAACTAGAAATGTGTTTGTGGACAAACGCAGCTGCTTCGGCCCTTGTTTCATTCATCTGAAACCAGTGACGAACTTCCTTGACAAACTACTTACAAGATTTAATGACAAGCGCACACACAATTAGACGACACATGCCAAACAGTTAATGTCAAATGACTTGTCACTTGATCTGTCACATGATTAACACCTCATCTCATGATGTGAATTTTCATCTGAACCACTTCCCTTTCTAACCCTTCGGCCTTTCGGCCTGTCCATCAGTCAACACGTTTTGTGCGTGTACGGGGGGCAGTAAGATTTGTGTGAAAACACAGATCTACAGGAATATTTGAAGTAGAACATCCTTTCGAGGTAAAGGTTCTACAGGAGGGGCCCATGAGGACTTTCTTAAACCAAGAGGGGCAGACGTTAGGAAAAAAATAGGTTCAAGACTTCCTCGAGATCGGTTAATCCTTCACTTTGTAATTTTTGTTTGAATGTCGAAAAATGGTCGTCCAGCAATGAGCACTTACCCTGTTTACTCGAAGTAGATGTCTGGTGACCAGTTGATCCAAGTTCGCGCAGACTAACATCTTTGTTTGTATGGGATGTTGTGAGATTTCACAAGACACATAAAGAAATTAGATAAAGAAAGTAGATTAGGAAAATCCTTGAAAAATTCTATTTATACCAAAGTGGGTAATATCTACTGATCATATTGATCTAATCTGACGATTATTGTGGCACAGTCCAGTAACGTGGTGCACTCCATTGTTCACCTCACGTGCCTCACATAGCGTAGCTTAAGCTCTTTCTTGAAAAACTTAATACTAATTTGGTTAAAAAGTGGTACTCTTACCTTCATGATACATGGTGTTGAACTTTTTGAACAATTTCAGTGTCATGAGATTTCGTTCGAAAACTAAAACTGTCGACGTCCAGAAACTGGACTCGAATTTAGCTGAGCATTCCCTAACGTGGCGCGCTTGAAAAGGCCATCAAAAATCCCTCATAAACGTTAACAAATTCCTTTGAAAATGATATAATCCTGTAAAGCATTATTACTACCACTCAAATACTCATCCACAAGTTTGTCAGAATTTTTTTTTCCCGGTGTTGGGGCACAATTTGAGAGAGTTCATTTCGCACGTCCGAAAAAATCAGAAAATTCGGCGAAAATAAAATTTCATCCCAACATTGAAGCAGGTACATAAAATCGAGATTTATGAATAAAAAAAAGGAGTTTGATAAAGTGCCACTGATTGTGAAATTTGAGCTAAAATATTGCTCCGTTAAGACACAAGAAGCAAAACCTGAACACTTCATGTTAAGGTACATCAACAATAGTGTTACTTATTATTAGCAGCGTTACAGCGTCAGATTTTTACATTTGAAACGAGCGAACTTTGTTTGACTCATACTATAGCACATAGTGTTTACCCTTGCAGACTTAAAGGATTCTCTTACGTGTTCGTTTGTAGATCAAGGTCGTTGTCTTTATCGATTTTGACATGAATCCAATGGAGCCGACAGTGAACACCCGCTGGGCTGGTTTCCTGTACTCAATTATGAGCACAGTTTCCGTTGAAGATCTCGCGTAGACATCGAAGCCGCTTTGGACGAATTTTAAGAGCAATTTCAGCGATTTCATCTGCCAGCACCACTGTGGTAAATCGGCAGATTTCAGTCGCAGGTGCAGGGAGTTCAATATGTAAACGGCTTTCTTCACCACCTCTGAAACATATTATAATAAATTAATATGTATCTATTATTAATATTGCGTCCGGTATATGTTTATATCGTTACTGTTTTCACGAAGAAACTAACTGGCTGAAAATAATGATTTTTTTTTCAAATTTCTGTTTCCTGTCAAAAGTCGAACAGGATATGTGATGCCTATAACTTCTTTTAACCATTTTGTACAAAACCAACAGAATTAAGCCAAATCATTACGTTTCTCAAAGAGGCATTTTTGCCTTCCATAAATATATAGCAGCAAAATAAGGCAAAAACATGGGTAAAAATTTGTTTAGCAATTTATAGGAAGGGACGCATTTGAGAATGGTAGTGCTTGTGTACAAATGCTATGCAACGGCAAAAACGTGTACCGTACTATGTGCGCCGTTTCACATAGAGACAAATGGTCTCACGAATTTCAGCGTTTTCACAAAAAGACAAACTAGTTTTTTATACAAAATAATACATTAATATATAGTAATGCATTTCAGTTAACTTCTATAGATATTACTTTGTAGTTTTGTGTCCTTTAATATCCTTTCTTCAGAGAATATCGTTGGTTAGGTAAAAGGAATGCTTAATACTGGGGAAAAAAGCGTTTACTCTCTGCAGAGACTTTCGTCATTTCGTAAAAACTGTGATGATATTTCCAGTAATACGGAGTTGGTGAGGTTTTTAAATTTTTTTCTTGTTGAAGTCGCCAATTGTTTTTGACCTTTTTGCATTGTTGTGTAGATAAAATGCCAAGCTTTCTTTGGGATGTTCGACTCTGGAAAAGCTGATTTTACATCCCATAAATTCTTGGGACAGACTAGCTGACCAAGACTCTCAACCCAAATTACCTCTCTCCGTATTCCAGGTTAAAAATTATAATTCTTTGCTTTGAAATGGACTCTTTCTCTTTAATATTAACCAGAAAGTTGTTACTTGGAACCCGCAAAATGATTGAGCAAATTTTAACTCAGATTCTTGGTCAATCCGAATAAGGAGTTGTCAAAATGTAAGTATTACTTTAAAAAAGATTTTAAAATAACAATACAAAATGATTTGAGACCTTCTTTAATTTAACATTAAAAAGATAACACATTCAATTTCAAGATCAAATCCTGGATCCCAGACGCTTCGGGCATTCCTTTGTCACGTGGTGGTACAGGGATAAATTTGATGTTTGATTGATTTCACTTCAACCTTTCTTCCCGTCAAGAGGCGCCCCTGTTATCAAATCATCAGACAAAACGGAAACAGAAAACTCCATTGGACCTACCTATTTCGATGAGTTCTGTGCCCTGGGAGTGCAAGATTATGAACACGGGGTCGTCCTTCTCTATGTCGAATTCTTGAGTCAAGCTGATGTCTACTTCCTTTGTAATAATAATCTCTTCGGAATGACCTGTGACCTGGAACGTTTTCTCTTCCTCCCAACGTGTCTCTTCCCACTCGGTTTGTTTCCATTCGGTATGTTCGCCTGAACGGTGAGGTAAATCAGTGGGGTGAATCAGTATGAGTGGGGAGCCTTGTCCTATGTGTGTTCTTTTGGAATACACGAAGCTTTACATACAAGTGTCAACAATATTCCACCCAACACTGTGTAATGTGAGGCGGCTAATGGGTAGGACTGAAGATGCGAGTCGTAAAACCCCCCTTGAGGTTCTTTGAGTGTGCCGTTTAGGTTTATGGGAGGTTGTCTTCAAGAATAACTCTCCTCCCTGTTTCAATAAATGGTACATTCAAAGCAGAGGTGGTAGCAAGTCTATTTTTTGCAGGTCCAAGTTAAGTCACAAGTCAATTTGGTACAAACACTTGCAGTTCATACTGCGATCCGCAACACGAATCACGCAGGAACAGGTTCGATTGAGTAGTTTTCTGACTTGCGTTGGTAACAAGTCATACCGTGCAAGCCAAGTCAAGCCACAAGTCATATTTTGCAAGTCCAGACCAAGACACAAGTCAAAAACTGATAGTTACAAGTCAAGCCACAAAACTAGCGACTGAGTCCCAGTCAAGTGACTCGTGCGTCTACAACTCTGATTCAAAGAACATTAAAATGGGTGCTGCTTGTCACATCTTTTGGTGCACAATCCTACCTCTTTACCCACCTCAAATTTCAATTAAAGGAAACACTTCCTATCATGAAACATTCTGAATAATGCATTCCTGAACGAACGACATTAAAAGTAGCTCTTTTCGGGCAGAGTTCTCGGCCCAGTTCCAATGAGTCGGTTCGATATTCTAACAAGGCATACTCAGAGTGAAGCGCGTCTGAGGTCGTTCGGACGTGCTTTTGAGCTACCCCTCAAGGACTCACGCGTGGTTTGCACCTGGCTCATTAGATTTAAATAATATGACTCAGGTTCCACAGGACCCCCATGACCTCTTTTTTTTTAATACGAAGAATCATCTACCTACCATCCTTTGTCTCACAGTTGTCTCCAAAGTATCCATGGTCGCATTCGCACCAATAGAAGTCTTCTCCCTCATAGGGCTCGCATGTTCCGTGATGGCATGGGTTACTTAAACAGGGGTCGACTAAAATACCAAAGTGAAATATTTCTGAATAGAAAACACCTTGCTGCGTCTTTACGAGACTTGCAGTAAATAAGGAAAGGTAAGGACAACAATACATGTAGAACCACATTACCTCAGTTTATACGCACTTACCCCACTGATCCTCGAAGTCTTCGAAAATGAAGAGGCCCACGCTGTTAACGCTGGTTCCATAGCCCAAGAAGCTTGGGTAAATGGGTTGGCCGGGATCCAAGTCTAACTTGAGAAGGGCAATATTTTTGCCCCCTCGCCCGACTTTTACTGAACTGTATGACAACAAACAGATTGAGACTTGGCTATTTTCGAATGTTTGTTTCCGAAATATTTCGGAACAGTAAAGTTGAAGCAATTCTTTCAATTTAGCATTTTCGTTTCTTTTGTTCGGACTGAGTTTTTAGGCTTCATGGCTCATACTTCTCTTCGTATAAAGTATTTATCCCCGCTGAATATACTTTTTTTTCAAACATTTTTGTTCCTGATCACACACTGTAAAACCTAGCAGTATACCGGGCACTAGTCACGTCCATTCTCCTAACCCATTTTAAACGCACGTTTGAGCCCGGCCACAAAGGACACATTTATTCCTTCATTAAAATCCATTCTTATGTAAGATTCGCATGAATGCTATGCATGTTATAGATACACATCTATGCCATGAACATAGGCCTCTATCTAGTGTATATGGTGTCCCCTGGCTTTTCAAATTTCCATGGCTGAGTTATCATCCTTCCACCTTTCCAATTCCCCATCCCCCAATGTCCCACACAAATTTACGCCACTGGCCAGCCTGTTACTCCTAGACAGTAAAGTGTTGTACCTTGGCTCGAACTGCACCCAGTAAGGGTTGAAATAATCGCACACCAATTCTTTGAGAGTAGTCTTACTCTCTTCCGCTGACTGACGGGGACGCCGGATGGAAGTCTTGGAGTTGCCATCACCACCTATGGCTGTTTAAGTGAAAATGATTCGAGGGAATACTTTGTTATTGGTCAGGAACACAGCTGCTGATATACAATAGAGGACGATATTTTGTTGGAGACCGTCTAAACTGAAAAACTGTAAAAAAAAAAATCTTCAAATAAACAAACAAACAACCCAACACCCCCCAACAAACAAACAACCCAACACCCCAACAAACAAACTACCTTAAAAGCCAAAAAAAAAAAACACTGCAGCAACAAACGCCCCATCAGGCACGCCCAACAACCCAATACACGAACAGAAATTTGCATTTCAAAGGTCAGTTTTTTTTTCACTTACTGATGATAATTCTATCGGAGTCATCGTCGTCACCATCCGCCAGTACAATCTGTACATCGGAAACTGCAGCCACCCTGTTTAAAAAAATGCAAAACGCCATCGCCATCAAAACCAAGACCAAAGAAATAATAAACAGCAGGATATGAAAGGTAAGTGACTTAAAGAAATGAAGCGCAACCAACATAGCAAATAATGACAACCAGCTACGCAGCAGTGTATCCAGTTGGGGATGGGCGGGGGTAATTTGACGGAGTTTTGTTTTGAACTAGTAATCTCATTTATCAAATCTTAGCGCAAAAACTCTTACAAAAAAAGCCACGAAATATGAAAAGAGATGTTGGGACCGTGAGTAAGGCTTTTGATAATTTTTTTCTTCTCAAACATCATGTTGAATAAGCCCAATGATTCACTCGCTTCTGATCCCCCCCCCAAAAAAATCAGATACGCCGCTGTAGCTGCGAATTGATTTCCTAAACGCCAGCCGCCTGGCCTATAATGTAAGGACTCGAAGAAAACTACGCATTAATGCTTCGGAATTATGTTTTTTAAATCAGTAGTTTTCAAGGGAGAATTTTTGATACAAACACTATCAAGAATTACTGCTTAACTCCGTTACGACAATCCTAGAATGAATGTACAAATTGAATTTCATTCGGAGTATGCACTCTTTTGAGAAATGGACCTATCATCGGTTGGAAATGTACTGATCATACATATACTTATCAATAATTAGGGGTAACCTCACTTCCCTGGATGCATACCGGCCTCCCACAAGAGAATAGATTCACGATTCTGAGGAAAAATTTCTTTTGGTTGAGGGAGGGGGCGGCAGCGGCTGCTCATAATTAATGTTAATTAAGGTTCGACACTGAAAAAGGTGCATTTTTCCATGCACCCCTTGCTGTTGTGGGAACTGCTAATGAGCTTAGGAATGCATACCTGAAATAAACCCGAAAATGCGAAGATGGCGGTGAGTGCGGATGCCACTGAAGTGCATCGGTTTTGCCACTTTGGAACACTTGACAGGAACTCTCTGGTTTTGACGCTACATGCAAATGCAATAGTAAAAAAAAAATCATCAAATTTTTAGTCATGTGTCTCGTAATCCCCATGAATATCTTAAATCGGTCTTGAAAGGAGTGTACCTGACAACGTGAAATTTCGTGACTTAAATACATACATTCTTTTTACATGTACTCTCTTCCAGATATGGAAATGGACTTTTATATACTTGCGCCGACGGTCGTTATTACTGCAACTAACAGGACTACATGTAGAGTCCTTGACACCGCCATCGTGTCGATGCTTCTGTAGCGAATGGGGTGACCTTTCCTATGTCAAAAGGGAGGATTTAAAGTGATTAACTGGACATGGAGGAGACGCAGATTATGATATAATTTACTAAAATTATCTTTTAAAACTCCACATTAACGTTTGACCACGTACAAAGACATCTCGCGACACTCCTTTTCCTCAAACAAAACGTGCGTCAGTGGGAGAACAAAAAGACAATATCCTCACAATTTATGCAGTATAGTTTCGATGGTCTGAATTATACAAAATGTATGGCGACTTCTATCATAAAATTGACGAAGTCTACATAAGGTTAATATTCATGTAATAGTATCACACATGCTGGTTTTCTCCTAGTCCAAGTTACACAATTTATTGAAATACATGTAATATATTTTAACATTACGCATTACCCCGTGTCTAGGTGTTGGGACGACTCCACTCCCTTCCAAAGTTTCAGAGGCTCAATTGGCATGTGGTAGGCTCCCACAAGGTGATTAATTGACAAACATACCCGATGTACGTAATGAACATCACATAGCTACTAACATAGATGCAGTTTCTAAAATTTGCAATGCAAAGTAGCCACGTGACTAGTCACCGCCATACTGGGGCTACGTTGCATTTCTGAATAATGTTACCGAGCTGGTGTCGTAAGGGTGTTAAGGAAACCAAAGGGAAGCAAAAACAACAAAGAACAACAACAACAAAGAATACAGGCGATTTACAGTAGTGCGCCACCAAGAGTTTGTAATACATTGGCCAATCATAACGCGCAAAAATTGTAGACCCTTTCCAAACGCGCATTGGATCGACAAATTT